CTGTGTGTGACCAGTTAAGAGAAAGTTAAACAGGCTTGACGTATTCTAAAAGAAAAACCACAGTAAAATCCAGTGCCACTTTCTTGGCACTGCAAGAGCCACTACTATTAAACATGAGCAGCAATAATTTCTATCAGTACAACATAAGCTACACAGTGCAAGCAAGAGAATTGAGCAAAGATACCAACTAAGTGTGACATTTATAGATCACATGACTTCTTGACTTGATATAGCTACCTTCCCACATTAACTTGAAAAATGTTTTACATACTTTTCAATGGGAAGAGGATGAGGTCCAGAGACAGAGAGTTTGTAGATGAACATAAGAAATTTTCGAAATGCGTCAAAGAAAGGCCAGTGTGAGAGAAGGCAGATGCATTTGTTGGAATTGATGGACTTGGAAGTAATCACTTTCCTCTCTACAGCTGTCAGGAGACCCAGCTGCAATTGTTGTTTTTCTGTTAACAGCTCCCGGGGATGAGGCTCATAAAACTGAATAGCAGCACCATAAACCTAAAAGATTAAGAAAAACAGCTGAACAGATCCAGTATTATTTAACAGGAGATTGGGTTAGAACTTTCAAAGCATCCTTAAGTCTTTGGTGTTTGCACACACACTATAGTATTTTTGCTGGTAGCTTATAAAATGACTTTTCATTTATGTGACATACACAAAGTATACTTATAAATTAAATGCTCTGTAGTGTTGTACCTCTCTTCCCATTTTTTTATTGCACTTTTCAAAACAAAGTATTCTGTTACGAAATTGACCATTGGCCACTTTGGGTCTCAATCCTGAACGTAAGATCGAATCCCAGGCTAGTGATTGGGCTGTGCTCCCTCACAGCTTTCTCCTGCACCTGTGAACAGCAGAGAAGCTGAAAGACCTTGGGCTGTCCTGACAACAACTATAAACATCACTGTTACCAGCTTTCTTCTTAGCACAAATTCAAAACACAGCCTCTGGCTAGCTACTATGAAGAAAGTTAACACTGTCTCAGCTGAATCCAGGACATATTCATACTTAGTAAATTAAAAGGGAAGGAACCAAACTGCATGCTGTGACAAAATCCTATCCATTAACTGTTATGGTCAAAAAAAAAAAAAAAAAAAAAAAAAAAAAAAAAAAAACAAAAACAAAAACAAAAACCCAAAACACACCAAAAAACCAACCCCTCATGAAATACTTGTATTCAGTAAATTCCCTTATCATTACCACACTAAACAATAAAATTATTTTAGCTTTGACTTGACTCATTTTACCAGACTAAACAGCTATCAACTTTTTCTAAAAGTCCCTCCTTATTTGTCAGAGTTTCATAATTAACTGAATTACTCTGGCAAGTTTAGCAAAAGGAGAACAGGGATGGATGACACAGTATACCTTCTCTCTGAGAAAAATCCTGGCAGCTACCTCATTCCTCCTTGCAAAAGAAGTACTGGTATCACGGAGGAAGAAATTTTTTTTTGTTTGGAAATGGAAAAGTATACAAATTTCCATGATAGGGGACTGCAGCAAAGTAGAAGTTGAGCTGTTACCACTAATAGAGCCAAACTGCTGTTTACTAGTCACAGAGAACTAATCACACATTACAATCACTTATTCCCTCATGCAGTTCACACGCACACACAGACACAGTTGGGAAGCTGAAGTAACAGCTGGAAGACCAACCCCGAACAAGGGCTTGCTTGCTTCATCAGGTGTACTTATAATCCTGTAGTGTCTGTCTGTATAGTGCTGATGCTGCCTTCTCGCATCTGGGCTGAGTCATGCAACACATTTTTGGTGCCCATGTGTGCTGGCGGCCTTATACAGATTCAGCAGATGGCTGGTGCACTGATCTATCATTACATGTGCATTCAACAGGATAACTGCTCTCAGGAGTTCTTGAGAGCTTCTTGCATACTGCCTCTCAGCATATACTTTTCCTCTCCCTGCCCTGCTGCTATCTGGTAACTATTTTCACGCACAGAGATACCTACAGAGCCTAATTACACAAATTCACACAGAAGTGGCTTTTAAGGTAATCACAGTAAAACCATAACAGCTTAAACATTGCTAACACATGTGGTAAGTGAACATCTCTTGAACATGTAAGCTATGTTTCCATTCCCAGAACCTTCTTACTTGAGAGAACAGGGAAACCCATGCACTGTGAGTTTTGTTTTTGTTCAATCTATGGTTCAGCTTACATGGGACTAAACACCACATATTTTTCCAGCTATTTCCTGTTTCAGTTTGCTTCTGTCATATACAAAGGCTTAAGCAATATTATTTTACAAGGGAAGTCTTTGACAATTTGTTTTTCAGTATTTCTCAAATACAGAAGAAACAATGCATATTTATCTCCATAGCAGACATTTGAACTGAAAGCAAAAACTAGTCACAGTGTGGAACCATACCTTTTCTGCAGAAGAGCAGGTCAGTACAAATGTTGAGAACACAGGTAGCGGATATTTGGTTTGAGGGTCCCAGCACTCAATAGTAGCTCCCATAGGAAGGCAGAAAAGAGGTACAGATTCTGACAGTGGAAACGACTCATAGTTCTCTTGAGGATATCTGAAAATTAACCCTTCAGAATGGGAGAAGGAAAAGTAAGCGCATTTGCTCTGCAAGCCCTACATAATGTAAGCAACATATTTTCCACAATACAGAGCAAAGTCTGTTGGTTATCTGGACTTTATAACTGAAGATTCCATCTGCAGAAGAAGAAAGTCTTTCATTTGACAGTAAGACTAAGTCATCCAAGGAACAACCATTTTAAAATTGTGTATGAATACTGAAGCAGTTCCTTTTGGTACCTGCTCAAAAACCAGTACATAGTAAAAACTAATTGGTGAAGATTTTTACTTTAAACCAGTCCCAGATTACCTGTGCTAATTAAATGTGCCATTGGAATGGATTTTATTACAAACAAATTCCCATGAAGAAGGTGATAATTTATCTTCTGTAAAAAGAGCAGCCATACCTCCACTGAAAATAGGATGAACTAGCTGACTGTCCACATTTTCTGCTAATCAGTCAATACGTTAAATTTTAAACAAATAGTTTATTCAGTTTTCAGAAATGTATCTAAGTCTTGCTGGTAGAAAATAGGCACACAAGCACTGGTTTACTATTTATTCTTCATCTAGCTTATTTTATGGTACACTGACCTCATCATCTATGCTTTCCACTTCTACTTGGTAGTTTATTCCTTGCAAAGGAATTTGGTTAAGTGTTCAGTAGAAACTCGTTTGAAAGGGTTTTTTTGACTTCTTCAGAAAAAAAAAAAAAAACAAAACTGTAGCAATGCATTAAAAAACTTATAACAGCTAGACTTAAAAGACTTCCTCTCACTTATTGTTCAGAATATTTTTCACTCTCCTCTAATAAGAAACAAATGAATCACTGTGGAACAGAAGGGAAGAAACACATTTAACTTTCAAATTAAACAAAAAGTGTTGCATTAGCTGTGAGACATAAAAAGAAATATGAGTAAGGTTGAATGGAATTTTTAATTACTCCTTCTCCATCATCACCAGCGCAAGAAATATGAAGCCTTTTGTTACATCTGAAATACTTTCTACTAAAGCTCCTGAGCTACCAAACCTGTCATGATAATAACTAAATTAATACAGAATAATTCTACTCCTATTAAGGCTTTTTTCTTTCCTGGGAAAAAGTCACGAGAGCAAAGAAGGCATTGACTTCAACTGACATAATCTAGGAACAGAATTCTGACAAGCTTTTAAAATTATTATTTCAACAAGTCATTTGAATCCTTCTGTTAGAATGTTTAGACAGTCTGCATCTAAAATTACTTACCAGCTTTATATGCTAAAGAGTTAGAAGCTGGCACAGACTTCTTGTAACAAAGGTATACACTGGAACCCCACTGGAAAACACAAGTTTCATCTCAGAACCAGCAAAGACGACAACATGCGGCAGAGAAATAAACTATAAGCATTTGAATATACTGTTACTTACAAACAAAGCAGACATTTAATAAAAATTGTTACAGAATAAAATGATTAATTGGCTACTGAATGCATGTAAATCATGAAACTGAGAATATACCCCTCTCACATTTTTTAGAGATCGCAGGATTTACATAAAATAATCACACCACCACTACTTTTTGACTTAGTCCAACAGAAGAACAGGGACAGGTGAACAGGAGATCATTTGCAGCTTCACATTTTCTTGCCTATTTAAAAGGAGACTAATGTGTGAACACCAACAGTGGAAGTGAAATTCTAGCCATCATCAATTGAAGTGTTTATCATACTTCCATAAACTGGTTATTTACATGGTGGTTTTGCAGTTCATCTAAATGCAGTCTACCATTCAAAAAAAATCACTTATTTCAGCCTGAGTAAACAAAATGCAAAACAGATTAAATAGAAGCAAACTCAGGCGTACTCATGGAAAACAAAGTACATGAAGAAACTGTAAGCAGTAATTATCATTCTTACATGTCTTAGTAACACAGGCATTATTAATAACTAAGAAAAAAGCATTTGTGATTCATCCCAAGTGTCAGCATCACCACGTGGGGGGCGAAGCGTGGGGGGGAATTATCCATCACACCTAGTCCTAAATAGCACGTAGACACGAATATGCAAATTGAAGTAGTGAGTAATCACTCTGAAGAAGTAATGCCTAACACCAGAGGGAATCAGAGCAACAAAACCTAGAAAACTGAAGTTTCACACATGGTATATAGAATAAAAGAATTATGAGGTAGTGATAGAACACAATTGTAACAGTGGTAAGAAGAGTCCAAAGGGCTACTCCTTTGAGTTTGTTTGTTGGGGTTGGAAAAAAAAAAAAAAAACACAAAAAAACCCCCAAGAAAACAAAAAACCACCCCAAAAAAACCGAGAGAGAGAGAGATTCGAGCTTTTAAATACTCACCATACCACAATTTAAATTCTTATCAACTTTGCAGAATGTATGAGGAGGGGTTTCTCCTTTGCTCGTAACAATAACACATATATCTGTCACTACCAATGAATTCTGAGGTCGTACTGGAGGAGCCCTTCGATATGTGATAAAGATCCGCTGAGAAGAAGCTGAACTGTTGTTAACATTAGCGCAACGACCATAAGGAGTAGCTTGAATCACCTCACAGCCTGAAATTATGCGTTCCTTCCCTTCATATAGAACTCTGCAGACAGGAAGGAAACAAAATATAAAGCACATTCAAATATATGGGAAACTACTGGGACAAATTAGCAGAAATCACACATCCATTAGCACCCAGTGTCATCACTGCAATGTTCTAATGTGCATTTTATGTATTGTCTTTTGTCATGAGCAATTTGAGGCAAAGGAAATGTTCAGAAACACTTAAATGTAAGAAATCTCTGTCAAATCATAGTTATGGAAAACCAAAATCAAACCACACTGAAAAATACTTAGTTATAGAATTCGTAGGAATGCTGCACTATCATTGAAAATTAAATACAAAGGAAGATTTAAACTGCTTGCACACATGATACCTGATCATTTAGTAGAAATTATTTGCATCACTAAAATGTCTGGAAAGTCATTTCAAGCTTTTTTTTTTTTTTTTAATGCATATTGTTTAAAAAGAACAACAGAAGATAGACGTGTGTTTCCGAGATTGACTTTTACAGGGGAAAAAAAAAAAACCAAACCCAGTAATGACTCACATTCGTAGTTTGAATAGCGTTCCTTGCAGGGGTGGGGGGGAGGGACGAACAACATAGACACAAATACTCCAATCCATAGAAAAGGAAGAAATAATAACTACAGTTGCCTGTATGCCTAGAATGCAGAATACATCTTACATGGCCATCCAGCAACATTCACATGGTACCTGGATTTTTTTAGCCAGATCACTAGTTTAGATCATCATACTATTAGCAAAAAAAGAAAGATCCCTCATAGCAGATAAACAAGCTGAAACTTTACACTCCAATCTTTCCCCACCATACAGGTATTAGGAAGTGATCACAAGAAGAAATGTGGAACTTAAACCATGCATCATTGCGTACTTTTAATGCACAGATGCTACGACAGGGCAAGCTTTATCTCCCATTCCGCACCCAAATAAGCAATGGTTCCATCTGCCTGATTCTCTGCAGTATGTACAGAGAACTTGCCAACTTCAAATGAGTTTTCATCTTTACAATACATTGAAAGATTTAGGATAAAGGTAACAAACTAAAACTTTGTATTTTGTGACCTGCAGCTTCCCACATGTAGTCCATCACAACTTTACTTTAAAATAAAAAATAACCAGGCAACATATCTTTTACTATCCCGAAATACCCTTGGTTAAATGGTTGACAGACTTGTGGCGAGTATGTATTTGAAAACCTAAGAAAGTCATGTGTATCAGCTGAAAAACAGTCTTTTTTCTAGATCCAAGAATTCTCTGAACTTTCAAAAAAATATATAACACTAACTTTCACAAATTACTTAAATACTACTGTCCATCTTTAAACTGGAATATGCAAATATTACTGTTTATTCTGATTCCACAGAACAAACGTGTACCTTGTTGTAGTACTGAGGACATATGTGAACTACAGTCCTAGAACACTTTAATAAAGCAAAGAAATCACAGGAGTTGGGAGTATATTGATGCAGCTACCAGGCTGCCATTTAAATTTATTCAGCTAGTTCATGGAGGACAATATTCTTGCCTTCAATAATGGTTTCAGTGGTAACAAGTCTGATCATCACATTTTTGCTACATTTAAAACAATGTGTAATCTCAGATTCAAAACAAGCCTAATACCACCAGTATTTCCAAGTTGCAACATTAGTTTTAATATACTACCTACTGGTTGAAGTTATGGATACAGAAAGTACATGCTATTAAAATTACTTCTAAACTAAATAATATACTGGAATAACATGTACTATGCTCTTTTTATGGGGTTACCTACTTCATGAAGTAAAAAAAAAAAAAAAAAAAAAAAAAAGAACCTAACCAAAAACCACAAAACCAACAGCAATGGCAGCAGCTCTCAGGCCACCTTCATTGTGGTGGTTCTATGAACCCTTCACATCACTGCCTCACATTAATCAGAAGAGAATATTAACAGAGCAGTCTCCAATGGAAGTTTCAGTTCAGTTTTATTTAAATTTCATGTATTTTAAATAAAATTTTTTAAAAAGTTACTCCAGAAACGTTCGTTAGCTGTCAGCTTTTGAGAAGGAGAACTGTATTAATCAAATAATTGCAGCAGTTCAATTTAATAGGTTTACAAGTATTCTCAGAAAGTTACTTAAAGACTGAAGAATTTCTCTTGTGCAAATACTTCTAAGTGGTAAGGGGCTGACTAGTGTTCTAGACTGTAACAGTGGGGTCACCTCTCATCAAAAGCAAAAAGAAAATGAAAGCAACTCACTCTCACCCCTACATATATACCAGCAGAAGTATCATTAAAACACTGTTTCCTGACCTCATGCTTAGTACTGAATTTAGGAAAACAAGCAAACAGAAGAAAACCATCACCCATGTATCACTCAGATTAAACAATTATTTTAGTGACTCAGACAAAAGCATTCAGAAGTGATGCATGAAATATTTAACATGACACTCTGTGTATACAAAATCCTCCCTGAGAGGCTAAGTTTACTCCTACTTGTTTCAACTTCACAGTGTCTGCCTAAGATTAATTAGTACTGACCAGGATAAGACTTGTTTCCTGCTTCTGTAAGCTCATACATTGGCCTCAATCCTAAATACACCTTATTTGCTCCATTATTCATTAATAAAGTTTCATTTCAAGCAAAATGAAACCTACAGTTTCCTCTAGATGTTAGGTCCTTTCCTTTTAAGAAAGACCAAAAAAATCTTGTTATCTCTTTGTAAGCCAGTTTCACGTTGTACATCTCATACATCATTGTACATCTCATCTCAAATCATACATCTACGTCTCATTTCACATCATACACCTCATTGTTCTCTCATAACCAGTTTTACTGATTTAAAGGTATACTGAAATACATCAGATAACAGAATTTAGAAAAAGATAAATACTACCTTCTTGCAGCTGTTAAGTTTAGAACTTTAAACCACAGAAAACTATGCTTCTGGAAAACCATTTCAAAACAGACAGACTGTTGCAAATTGCATCACGTGGGGCTGCTCTCCACCTTGCCTCCTCCTCTAGCTTCAGCCACATTTCCTTCTCTCTCAGTCCTTACACAAAATAACTCTTTTTAACAACTCTTCCTATCTGACTTAAGAGAAGGTGGTACACGAGTATTGAATAACAAAGGAACCAAAATAAATATACTAGGCAGCAGGAGGGTCAGAGGAGAAGTGTTGGGTCAAGCAGAGGGAAAAGTGAGTTATTTTTACCTCTACTGTCACCACAACGTACAAGTGATTAGTTTCCTCATTATTATCCTAAGCTGTTCCAAACACCCAACTGCAACTGTCACATTGGTGGGATTTAAGGAAAAATGGAAGAACATCTTCCACTTTCTATTATGCTTTTTTGAAATTTGAGTTCACTTTCATTTTTGAAATACATCTGCAGTAAATAAAAACATTTGTTCAATTGATACTCCTGCAGATTTTTTCAGAAACCAGGTATGCAAGATGAGCTGGGTCCTGGCAGAGAACCACTACGAAAACTTAAGCTTCCCACACTAGCCAAAAAAACCCCATCAGTATTTCTTTACCTACACAATGCAAGTTACTAAACTTTTGCATTACTCTGTAATACAAGAACCTCTGCTTCTGACAAGAAGTCTGATATTCTTTCCTTGGTCCTTTCTACAGTAAATGTTACAAACTGCAAAACTTACACTTAAAAAGCATTTTTCTGTCTGTTTTTGTTTGTTTGTTTGTTTTGTTTTGTTTTTTGCTTTAAGAAGCAAGTGCTGGAGCTCTCCCATACTCCTAACTCAAATGGAAAACAAAGAAAGGTGAGATCTTGCTTCAAAGTCTCCCCCACCTAAACCAAAATAAATCTCAAATGTCAGTTCTTGTCTATTTCTGGAACATCAGCAAAAATATTGTCTAGAAAAGCAACAGAAGGACTAGTAGCTGAATTATTTACAGACATATAAGCTTAAGATACTAAATTTTAGAGCTATATGCAGGAAAAGGACCTTACAGATCTCTTGTCCGAGGATCAAATCTTTATTCTTCCAACTAAAAACAGCCACAGCAAATGCAACATCCAGAGGCACGGCACATGGCCTAACTATATGCAAGGGAGCACCTGCAGCAGGAAGTCACTCTAGCAGCTTACAGACACTTTTAACTTTAGAACTGGTGGAAGAATAGGAAGGAAAGAGGATGGAGGGAACAAAAATACAAAACACAAGGACAATGGCAGAGAATCAGTAGAGTGCATACTCATCTCCCCCCCTCCTCAAAACAGCATTTAAACAGTTTCCCCCGAAATAGTCCTGAAAAAAATACACACACACACAGACACAAATATTTATCAAGAATCATCTGAATGCTCAGACTACAAGATAATTCAACTTGACACAAGACTACGAATTTGACCCTTTCAAGGGATATACTCTGTCTACTACATCTACTCAGCATGTCGGCTGACTTAATGGATACTTAGGGCTCAAAGATAAAATATTCTTTCACAGTTGGTTATTTAATTAAGAGTAGATAACAGCACAAATTAGCCTTCAGACTGTAGGTACATCTCTTTCCCAAACTGCACTTTCATTTGAACACACTGAAATTCACAAACAAACAAACAAAAAAAAGGTTGCTCTAACAATCTCTTGCATGGAGTTGCAGAACAGCAAGAACAGCAGGGAGAAAACATATGCATCACTGCTCAGAGAGAAAAGCCTGCCACCATAATTAGATCTGTGTAAACCAAAATACAGACAAAATACTGCTTGCCAAATACCAGCTTTCCACCAACAGTTTTAAGAAGTGTCTCTGTTGAGGAAGCCCTTAGTCAGCCAACTATTTGCCTATGTTGCTTATCAGGTATTCCCTATGAAACCTACCCAAACATTCAAGAACAGACATGAAAATAAGCATGTGCTAGCAAAGCTGCTTCCATAAAGACACATGCTGAAGACTGATGGCTTAGGAAACCCTCTGAGGAATCACCCCTAGAAATTCTTCTTTCTGATACAACTTACTGAAGTTTAACCTATTATTCAAACAGTAACTGCAATTCTACACAGTTAAATCCCATCGTAACAGTGACCTCATCTTGCAGTGTCAGTAACACACGGGAAAAGACTATTCTAAAAATGACAGTTTCACTGAAGATTACTAGAGCATGGTTCTAATGATTGGGATGAACTGAAATTAGAATGTACCGGGTTGATTATACAACTTCAGCTATAATCCTTAGAGCAGAGATCTTGCCATGTAACTAATTTCATTACTAAGATTTCACTATAGGTTTCTTCCTGACTGGACTCAATTTGTCAGTTGGCACTCAACTGTAGGTCAAAAGTGGGTATGTAAGCATTGTGCCTGATATGCTTCAAGTTATAAATTAAATTATTAAGCTTATTGCAGCTTTCATATAGACGTATTTTTTTACTTTACTCTTTACTACTTATTTAGTAACTAAATAAGGAAAAACACAGACAGTCCTTATTTTGCCATCATTGTAACAGTTCCCCCCACCCATGCTCCATTTTTTCTTTCTCATTTCAGCCCCAGTAATTCTACAATATCCTTAGCCAAATCAGAGAAGTGCTATACAGAGCAATTTAGACAATACTGTAGTGCTGCATGAGTTATTACAGATTGAGCATTACCTCAATATGCTAGTTTTGTGATCTTGGTCCTGAAAACTTACATTAAACTCAGTATCCTATAAGTAACATTAGTTCTGAGCTTCCCTGAGCAGGTTTCCCCTTGCATTTTTCAGGCATTGAACTTAAAACCTTTTGACTATATCTAGGGTTTTCAAACACAGGAACTTACACATCAGACATCAAAAAGCACGGTTTTTGAAATACAAGCATGATTAGAGTTACTGAGAGATACATAATCCACTGTTTGCAGCCAATCATGCCAGAACTTGTAAGCAGCCTCACAAACACTCTGATCTAACAGCAAGGCAGGCTACAAGATTCTAGGTAGGTGGATAATTTTAAGAGCATTGTTTCAGTGTCCTGCATTTTTAAGTTATATCTTTTACCTTAAGCATTAAAGTGAATTCCACAAAGTGATAACTTTTGTTTTCTGAAGTCATCAACTTTATAATAAGCACGTGAAAGAGACTGAACTGTGGGACATCAGTCCCAAAGACTGCTTGGAAACTGAACTGTGCACAAAGAAGATACACCACTGATGTTGCATGGTGTAAGGTAAAACCGGTTTGGTGTGGTGCGAACAGTCAGGCCTCCCCGTGGGGGGGGTGTATGAGCCCCTATGACTGCCATCACGTGCTGGGACATGTGCAGCGCACCGCGAGGGAGCACCCAGCAAGAGCATGTACCCCATGGGGGCAGCATGGGCATGCGCGAGAGGGGGACGAGGGGGATGTGCTGGACACGCCGCTGCCCTGGAAACCCTTGGCCCAATGGACGTTCTCCAGCACCATGTACAAAAGTCTGCAGGGAAGTGCATGAATTGTGTCTGTGTGAGTGCGTGTGCATTCACTGCCAAGGCCTGTGGATTACTGGGATGTCACTGGAACTTGGGTGGTAACTGTTTCTTGCATCTCTATCTCAACTTCCTGCTTAATTTCTACCCTTTATT